CAATTATTCAAATTCCAGCTCGCTATCCATCCACCTGAGGCACCCTTCTACCTCAGCTCAGCTACCCAAACTCGTGCTATCATCCTTCGAACACGTAACAATAAAATACTCCGAGTCTCGACAGAATTCCGTGGGAAACCCTTCTAATACCACCATAAATCAAAATTTCTTTCCCCCTCGATAACGTTACTAGGGTCTGACGAGGAAACGATAGGACGCGAAAGCTGTTGGAAAGCAACGAAACTCGGGCGAAGGGAAACGAGCCTTTCGGAACTTTAACTCTTAATCTAGTCGTCGTTACGGACGGTTTTGTGTTTCTGCCGGTCGTTCCATGGCCGGATATAACTGCGGAAAGTTCACGCGGACGTGGAAGACACGGTGGAAAACTTTTTGGATAGGGACACCGTCGGCTCGTTGTGGCAATAGCTGGCCGCGCGATTTGTTTCGCGGCGGGGCACGCGAGAAGCGTGTATCAGTGCCGCGATAAATTATTCTAATCTACGGTGCCCGTCGACGATTCTTCATTCTTTAATCTCGTTCGTGTTCGATCCTATCTTCCCGCGATTTTCGTGCCACGAGGCGATCCCCGAACAGATCGCCTGGATTTTACTTATTCAGCCCTGATAATTGCCAATTGCCCCGAACACGTCGAGTATTTTGTAATCGTTAACCAATCGACAGGTGATTATACGCGTGATGGGTAACGGATCGAGGAGATTTCTTGCAATCGTGTTTTTGAGAGTCGTGTAATAATTTGAGTGTTCGTCTTGACGGATTGAATGGATTGGATATGATTTATAATTTTCAGCTGACTTTTAAGTATTCCTAAAAATATATTGACAGTATTATTGGGCACTCTTTAGGACTTTTGTAGGAATTTTGATGGCAGCTTGCTTATGACAGAGGGTTGAAATTTTGGAGTTATTTGAAGAATTATTTAAAAGATTTTTAGAATTTTTCTAAAATGATTTTGCCTAACTATCTAATTTATTAATATTAGAGTTTAATTAATCGATCTTTAGAAACTTCCTGTTGGAAGTCAGCTACGCCCATTCAACGATGACGACAAGCCTGTTATAGGTTGTAGGTCAATACCGACCTTTGGACTTCAAGGGGTCGGTTTTGGGGGTTTAAAGGGGCCTGCTGTCCCTTGAAGCTCTTCACTCTCAAATCAGGAACAGTACGGATATATTATATATTGTGGCCCACAGTGGCATTAAACAAGACTCTAGTATTTCATTTGTATAAATTTCACGTATATTAAACCTTCATAAATACAATTGCTGTATAACTGAATACAGTTACTTCCCTGCACGTTAATCATTTGGCTATTTCCTCCTCGAAATTCCCAACACTTCCCTGAAAGAATTAATTGATTTCTAGAATTTTTACTTTTCAGGAAAAAATTAGGTGAGATCCTTTAATTTTTTTGAATAACAAATTATCAAATTCTTCCAATTTCCCGAAATTTGACTGTAGAAAAAGATTGTACCGAAATTTATCCTATTATTATATTCTTTATCAGAATATTTTATTATAATCTTAATGTTACATTTTTATAGTTATCACTGCACATTTTGTCATAGTGATATTATGACCGAAAATAGCTACTAACTTTTACAGTAAATCGTGTTCTGTATGAACCGTTCTAAACTGAAATATATGTACGCAAAATGTGTAAAAATATGTAATATAATTTAAATAATCGAAGTATCATTGTATATTTTCACAAGGATTTTCAAATGATCGATTAATAACATGGTTAATATCATTGATTAACAAGTAGGATATATTCCATTTGACAACATAATATATAGTAGTATTTCATTTACATTACCATCGACAACTGTCCTAAATCACGTCGCTACATATCAGCTAATCCTAGTCAGTAGTTACGGACTGATATAGATCAGACATTCCTAGTTGCGCTACAGTGATCCATACTTAATATTAACCCTCCAGCGTTATACGTTCTAGATATCAGACACGATATTGTGTTAATGGCATCTCTTCTCTTTTAACGTAATTAAAGATGACTATCTCCGAGACAAATTCGCGACATATTATTAAATGTCCACCAATGAAATCACACGGTAAAGAAATTATGATTTATGAACCGCGATAATCACGAAATTCGTATCTACTGGGTCAAGAAATTATCGATTAAGAAATACATCAAGGAACCATTATGGGATACCGAAAAAATTATTTCGCTCGCAAAAATGTGTCTCACTATCACGATAAAGAGAATGGTGATTTATGAGTCGTAATAATAGCAGTAAAATTTAACCCCACTGGGTCAAGAAATTATCGATTAAAAAATACGTTTAGAAGAGGCCATTAAGAAAAATATTTAAAAATTATTTTCCTTGGAATAATTGTATTTCAGGATTGCGATAAAATAAATTATAATTTACAAGTCGTAACAATAGTCATAAAATTCTTTTGCTAAGGAAAATTTACTTCGTAATTACGACCAAGAAATTCGGAATAATCCTAAAATTCGATAGGATCGTGAGAAATTTGGAATAAAATATTAAAAATATTATTTCACTCGCTGTTTCACGATTACCCGGTACCATTACCACGAATAAATGATAATTACTCGACAGAGGCGAATTAAAGGAAATTAAGACGAAGAAAGGGGTAAATTGAAGAGGATAAAATCAAGGAGAAGGAAGCTGACGGAAATAAATTGGAAGGAATCGCATTAAGGGAAAGCTGTCCTGGCTGATATTCATTAGACAGATGCGTCATTTTTCATGGGCCATTAAAGAGGAAAAAAATAATCTCACGCGTTAGGGTAAAATGCTCGCGCTTGTTCCCGGTGTCGACTGGGGGGGAAGTGGGAAAATAAGAAAAAGGGAAAAAGACGGAAAATAAAAGAAACAGATAAAAGCAAGGGATTGAATGGAGATATTAAAGGGATGGCTACGCCCGGTTCACACGAATTTTAACGACCTTAGTTTTAATGAAAGACACAGCGAAAGAGACTTTTTTAACGCTTCTACCAGGCATGATTTATGAGTGGAACCAACGAGATCATAATTTACTGACGGTTCATTCCCTTTCACTTCGTTTGTAATTCATAGATCATGCTTAACTTTCAAAACTTTCCTCTGAAATTGATCGCGCGTTGAAACTTCTTGTATCACTGTATCCAAAAACATTAATCTTCCATCACGCCCGTTATCGTTAGAGCTAGACGAATCGTAATTTATAATTTAATCTTCCTGCTCGAACCACGTGTGCTCGTCTTTGGAACAGCTACCGATACCAGCACAGCGAAGACACGTTCATGGGAACAATTTAACTTTCATTTTGTCTCGGTGTAGAGGTGCCATAGCCGTTCGAAAGTATGGTATAGTGGCCAGTGCAGATTGCGATATAATCGATGGATACAAGGTACATATAAGTACCACAGATGCGATCATTCAGCTCTTCGGTTCACGTTGCTTGGGGTCACGTCGATGGATATTATCTATTAAATCGCACGAGCTGCGTGAATTTTCCAACAGCCGAGTATGAAATATAAAGCATGAATTAGGCAAAATAAAAATTCAAAATTTCGCAGAAATTTGATAAATGAGAAAATTTAAAGGGTGGAGAGAATATAGACAAATTATTGCTCATTTATATTCAATATATGTGGGAATGGTGAGCATAGCGTGATTAGGGTGTAAGGTCACCACCTGTGACAGTACCTCTTGCGTAGGTACGACCGTAGAATAAATAGAAAATAGAGGATAATAAACAGAGATCTCGGGTTTGCAAGGATTGCAAAGATTGTGAAAAGATCGTATGAACTTCATGATATTTATGGTAACGTCGAATGCAAGTGGAGAGCGAAATGCATCTGAGTGTTTAGGATACGTGAACCACCGAGGGCAAGAATGTGAGAAGTGTGTGAGAAATACGTGATTGAGAAAGAGAGCATGAGTATGAAAGAAGACAGAGTGCAGGGTTTAACCCTTTGTTTTAACCCTCGAGAGGCGCCCTTCAGTCGCCATTTAATAAAATTTCGAAACTCGACATTAATTAATATATCAATTTTAAAGTAATGTAACAGTGTGCGAGGTATCGAAATTAAATAATTCTATGTGTTAATTATTTAGTGTTCAAAAACTATTATCAGTCGTATAGCAGAAAATTTTTCAATTCTCACCCTTCTTTAAGGGTTAAATAAGGGTGCAAGGGTGAAAACGACACAGTTCTTTGAGAGATAGTCAATGTAAGAGGTCATAGCGTTTAGAATAAGTTTTAAATTAATTCTCGATTAACCATATTTTTATTATTTATCACCGCCATTTTGCTGTCACCCAACAATCCTACATATATATGTGATCTAATTAAATGAAGTCTCTCAATTCCAAAATCCTAATTATTATGAAATATATATATAAAGAAAAGAAAATTATTTTTCACTTTTCACGAGATCCTTTACACACCGGGTGGAAACAAATTCTCAAATTATTTTTCACACCTAATACACACCGGGTGGAAACAAATTCTCAAATTATTTTTCAATACACCTCCCCTTTACGTGAAAAGAAGCTTCGATTTCAAACGTAATCATAGAATGTCGCATAGAAGAAAAAGAAAAGGAAAGGAGGACGAAAAAAGACGAAAAGCTAGAGAAGTTTGGAAAAGGCATAAATTCAATTTCGCGATGGTCAGAACGATTCTGTGTTTCGTAAAAGGGGCTCGATTTCAACGGAAACAATGGGACAGGCACGCACGAAAAGAAAGCCAGAGAAAACACACAAGGGGATCGTATTTCACACCCTTTCGAGGCTCCCTCTTCGGACTCGAAGGGGCCACGAGACGAGATGCCCAGATAAACGAATACACGATTCCGAGTTCAAGTTCACCGGGGATTATTCCAGGTCTCCTATCCCGATCGAGACGTCGATAAAGAACCGCTTATCGCCTCGAGTGATTCACTTTTCGTGGACAATGGTGTCTGGATCGCGGCCACACGTGCACACATGTATGCTTACCGTGAACATCCAGCTTCACGTCGACAGACAGCGGCTCGACGAGCGTTGTACTGTTGACTTTACACGTGAAAGTTGCATTCAGCTCGTCGCGTGTGATTTGCATCTGCAGCAGGCTGCTCCCGTTCCCGATCCCGTTCTCGGCCACCGTCGTCGAACTGTTCGCTGAAACACGGCCGAATAAACGCGTTTAGATGTGTTCCTGGACCGAGTGTCTGATTCAGTGGAACATGGGACCTCGATCGCTCGGACCGATTTCCAGGGATCCCGCAGCGACGCCAATGGACCACGCGTCCCGCCGCGTGTGTCGCATAGTGACAATGGGGTGGTGATTTTTGACAACCGGAGGTTACAGTATTTTTACACTGTATACACGATTAACCCTTTTAGTGACAGTGTAAATTGCGAATGCACATGCTCGCGAGATTTATGCGAAAATTGCCACTGTTTATGTACAAAGTATTAATAGTGAAAGAAGTATAATTAAATTGTAATTAAATTTTAATTTTAATTAATAGAAAAAATTAATTATGCGAAGGAATGTGGTCTTCGAAATTGTTGAACCATTTCTTTGTATACATCATGTATAATAACTTGAGCTGACAGTAAAAGGGTTAAATGGCGAATTTTATTGGTCCAAGTTTTTTGAAGATATTGTACAATTTTTAATGGTGGATTGTGATAAATGCGATGAGTATATCGTTATCAGGTATGTGGGTGTATATATATCGTTGGTGAGATGGGTACTATATAAAAATGAAAATGTTAGAAAGTGAAATTTTATTATTTTGAGAATTTTTTATTTTAAAAATTTCATAACTAAGGTCTCTATAGATAGCTACCAATTGCCTGAGAATCGAAATGTCTGCCGTATGTTAGACTATACAAATACTTGAGAATTTGAGAATTGAGAATATACAAATATTTGAGAATTTTTTATCTTTAAAATTTCTTAACTAAGGTCTCTATAGATAGCTAGCAATTGCCTGAGAATCGAAATGTCTGTCGTATGTTAGACTATACGGGATCTAATAATTAAGCTGAGAAACTGGAACAATTAGTGATTTACAGTGTGATTTATGACGAATGTGATTCGCGATAACGAATGTGTTCTGGAAGATGTTCGCGCTGCTTCATATGCTACAGATCATGATATAGCGAGATCGTAAAATTGATTAATCAGTAGTCCAAGTAGACACGTCTCTGGTGTTAGAACGAGCAAATTGGCAGAAATATGGGCCCATAAAGATATGGAACTACAATGACTAATTTTTCCACTTCTAAACGAAATACTGTTCGTCGTATATCATCATTTTTCTGTCATCACGTACAATCCTAAAAATGAATGAAGTGGAAGCCTAAACCCTTCTAATAATTTTTAATTACGTATTAACTCATTCTTCATAAATTAATTCTTACTCTCGCTACTTCATGACCCCTCTTCTCGCGTATAACATATTAAATAAATTAAATAATAAAATTAAAAATAGTCCAAAATGCAATGAATTTAAAATACTATATAATAATCTAACAAAAATAATAAAAACTGTAACTTAATATATTATTATAAAGACTCGATATCGAATAATTTTTTAGGTGAAAAAAGAAAGAAAAAGGGGAATATTTTTTTCAGTAACAAAAGAATGCAGAATACATATTGCAATTTTGAAACAAATCCATGAGATACCAGATTGTTCAGCAGTAGTACACGTTATGAATTTTCGACGTTGTTACAGCATTCTTTGCAGAGCATTCGCGTGAAAAAGGATAATATCGGTCTGCACGTGTACATAGCTTATAATCGTTGCACGGTTAACGAAAAACGCGTTCAGAAAAAATATTGCGAACAATGAACAGAAATATTTGAGCAGCTACAAACGTGGCACGTTTTAAAGCTCAATCCTTTGTCATCGTGGAAACATTTTTTCGAGGAAGTCCTCTTCGCGAGTATATCGCACGCTGCGATTAAACGAATTTGCGTTACTTTTTATTTCTAATTCACTATTATTATTATTACCGATCAGATGTCGGAAATGACTATGCTATTTCACGGATGCATGTTCGCCGAAATTTTCAAGCTCGATTACTCATAGGCTACGTGGTAGCTATCAAAGAGAAATCGCGTTACGTGGATCAAGACCTACCCCAATGATCCCAGGATTACAATTCGAGTATCTAGATACCCCGAGTTTGCATAGCTTGATGTAAAGTGTGATTCGCTTGTAACTAGATAGACAACAAGAGCGATGGTTTCTATTGTAATGGAACCCGTGACGAGTGTGAGACCGTGTTTTTAGCGAATGCAGCATTCGGTGGTGAAATGTGTTTGACAGTGATACATCACACACATGAAATACTCGAATACTTTAATTAAAGGAATACATAGAGTTCCACGGCGATTCTATGATAGCCAAGTAAATTTTTGGTACCTGTTCAATCTACGAATCCATATGAAATATTCAACAAATTTTTATCACGGTATAAAATCTACCGAGGTCAATCTACAAATTTATATGGAATATCGAATATTTAAAAATTCATTATTACTCTAAAATATTTAAAAATTCATTATTACTCTAAAATATTGAAAAATTCATTTATATACCGGTTCGATCTAAATAAACTTTTATCCATTTTTCAAATTCTTGCTTAAACAAGGATCCAAATTCGCACAGAATTTAATTAAATTTTCGCCCATTTTTCACCGAGCAAATTTTTGATCGAACAAAGAGCGAAATTATTTTCAGCAGAATATTAGCCACGTGGAAAATTTGCTACGAGGAAGCAGTTAATGCGAAATAGGTATTAATAACGGCATAAAAATTTGTCATCGGGTCGCTCGAAAAGCACTGAAAACTCGCGGAGTGGTGAACAAAGAAGGGATGAAAAACCGGTATCATAAATCGTGGTAAACCTTCGTAAATCTTACCTTCCAATAGCTGGTCGTTCTTGTACCACTCGACCGTAGGCACTGGTTTCCCTTCGCTGCTCTCGCAGAACAAGGAAATCATCGAGCCTTCGTTTATAGGCCCTAAAGTGGTGCCGGTGCTTAACGGCTTGTCCCTGGTCGCGTCGATGACACGTACGGATTTGGGTTGCACTGGAACAGAAACGGAAACGCGGTCAATTACGCGGTTAAAAGGCGTCTTCGATTCGTCCTACTATTATTGCATCTATTCGGCACACGCGTTTGTGCAACGTTTGTTCGATTCGTTGCTCATCGACTATCTCGAAAGCAAACCGAACGATTCCATATTGATTGCGAGCACCAGTTGGCTGGGAGATGTCAGTCCATTTAATCCGCCATTTGTATTAATCTTCTGACAGAGGATTTATTTGCGAATAACGATACCTGTCCCGACTGTTTCAAGTTGTTATGGCAATACGAGGCGCACGCGAATGCAACAAAAGTGGGAAATAATTTCAGCTGAATTGGTTTCGGGTTAATCATTGGGTTTTCGAGAGATATACAGGAGCCAGAGGGAGTTTTCTTAATTCTCTGCAATCAGGAAATCTGAATTTTGTTTCAGTGCGATTTTGAGAGGGATTAAATAGCGATTGTAGGTTTGTGGGTTAATTAAAGTTCTGAGAATCGAGGATTGCTAAGTGATAATTGTGTGAAGGTTGATTAGGGTTGATTGGGAAATTCGAGGGTGATAACTGGATTCAGTAAAATATTAGAAAAGTGAATATGAATCGGAGATATTAGAAATTATTGAAAATACAAATTTTTTAAATATTGGAAAATGGGAATACAGGTATGTAACTTTAAAGTTACACTGAGGATAGGGAGGATAGGGGTTCTTTGGTAAATTCTTTAAGCTGCATGATTTGTGTCAATGAGATCATCTTAATTGCATCATTCGTAAATAATGAAATTAGAATTCGGATATCTAAATATTTCTTTGACTTTCCGGTACTAAAAATAAAATTAGAAATTTTAAATTCTTTTCCTGGATCTTAATTAGTAAAATTAAAATTGGACGTTTCAAATTCTACTTCACACCTTCCTGGAATAAAATTAGAATTTGGATATCTAAATTTTTCTTTGACTTTTCGTTACTAAAAATAAAATCAGAAATTTTAAATTCTTTTCCTGGATCTTAATTAATAAAATTAAAATTGGACGTTCCAAATTCTACTTTACACCTTTCTGGAATAAAATTAGAATTCGGATATTTAAATATTTCTTTGACTTTTCGTTACTAAAAATAAAATTAGAAATTTTAAATTCCTTTCCTGGATCTTAATTAGTACAAGCAAAATTGGACGTTGCAAATTCTACTTCACACCTTTCCGCAATAAAATTAGAATTCGGATATCTATTCCGTTACTAAAAATGAAATTGCATATTTAAAATCCTCCTTCGAATCTTTGTTAATGAAATCAAAATTGGAAATTACAAATTCTTCATTTCTCCCACGATAAAATTAGAATTAAAAAATGATTCCATCACAGAAAGTTAGACATAACTGACATATTGAGTTAATTTACCAACACCCAGACCGACATCGCGAGCTACTTTGAAGGTAAAAATTGTTTAGACGTGTGCGAAAGTCGGTGTGACTAAATGGCTTATGTGGAGTATGTATGCGAGAATAAATCTTCTTAAGGGTGAACACTGGATGGTGAGAAAGTTTGGAGAGTTTGAAGCGAAAGTCTAGGGAGAAAGAGGAGGAGAAAGTTTTGAAAGCATTAGCGCACCGACTATATTAGATATAGCGAGTTTTAGGTATACGTGTTTGTCAGTTATACGTGTCTCTCTTTCCCAGTGTGCGTGTACCTACCGCGAGCAAGTTACCAATAAAACAAGCGAGAAATAAATTTGTTATTGCTGTATCACGCGAACGAAGTAATTCCGTTGAAAAATGGATCGATCAACCTCCAACGAATAAATTGATTAAATTCTAGAAATTAATTAACATTTATTTATTAATAGCCCGTAAATACGCGTATGGGTCAAGTATCGACTAATAATTAAATAACCAAACATCATCGAACATTCAATATTTGTTCCCGAGAATGTTAAAGAGCTGAACCGTGTAAATTCCTGTTTTTCGCGATTTTTATTTACTCGAATGTCAAAAAAGCAAAGATCTAACCAAAAAAAGGAGGCACCTTCGAAATTGTCAATTTCTCATGCACACGTGGCTTTAAATTATTCAAATTTCCATTTAATTTTCGGTTCATCAATCTCGTTTCTCGTCGATTAATAGCTAATCGATACTGTCTCGCTTCTAATCGCGCGATTTCCCATAAATTTTGATACGCTTTTAAAATCGAATATCAACCGATCTCCATTCCCATTGTCCCGCTGGTGGTCAAAGAATATATCGTTCGATTAACGAATGAATAATGAATGTTTTAATAAATCTTCGATTGGCGAATAACCAACGAGATGTTTCCTTGCAGTATATCAATTATTTGCGCGTTCATTATTTGTATCGTTCGCTAGTAGCAACGAACTGGAATTTTCTGCGAACGGCCAATGGTAATGCATCTTTCGGCATTCGATGCGTGTGGAATACAATGTGTTCATTGTTTCAAAGAGTAACGAAAAAAAGCACGATTCTTTGGAACAATGCATCATATTTTTGGAACGTATCTTCCACGAAAGATCACTGAAATATAATCCTTTATAGAGGATTGGTAGAATGTAATCTAAGGTAAATAAAATTTAATTAATAGCGTATGTAGTACATAGTAGAATATAATTTAAGTAGATTTCTGCCTTAAGTAGACTTAAGTGAAGTTTAGGTATGATTAAAATTCTCATTAAAATTCATTTCAAATTTTTCTGTTTTTCTTTTACGTAATTCTTTATGAACATCATGCCTAGGTATACGAGTACTGTTGTTTTACAGAAGCTCGTTACACTTCCTTGGTATCTCCATCTTGTAATATTATCAGAAGTTAACACCTCTGTGTAACCAATAGAGTACTCGTGTATACTTCACGTATAAGTTTTGTACTTCGTAATGAACGCTGTAAGTTTCTGTAATATCACGTTTAATATCTCGTATAAAGTTTTTACCTTTGGTTAGATGGATAGATGGTTTTAATATATTTCGACGTTCTAATAAAAATTTTTAATTGTTCAATGGGGCACTTTTTGCTTCAAAGTATCTTCTAATTAGTGGTTATATTCAAAATGCACTAACTGTCAATTTTCATTCAATGTTGTTCAATGCAGTTCAAGTAGTTCAAGTGCTCCGGTCACTAATGACCACCGTGGTATTACAGGAGAAACCATGGAAACCATGGCGGGGCATTTATGACCAACGTGGCAATCGAAGTGTTAAATTCTATCATACATTTATAATTTACCGCTGCAATAAACACTAATTTCGTCTAACATTCCAATCCTTATTGCTAGTTAAACAATAATGGTTCTTAGTATCCGATGATCTATTTGATACTATATCGTAGGAATTTCTTAAATTTTGGATTAGGTTCAAAAATTTGTGGAACGAGGTAAGCACAATACAAATACACACTATCCCTGATTGATAAATAATAATAGAAATTGGAAAATAAAAGGTTGAGATCGTGCGATGCTCACTCTAATAGTCTCTGCTGTCACTGACTTCACACCTACACTTGCTATTTCAATACTGTCTGCCAAATAAATTTTCTGTTTTCACACTGTGCTATGTAATTGACTCCTTGTCAATAGTCGTGACTTGACGTCAAATTGGCTCCCTGTCAATAATGTGACTTGGCATCGAATTGACTTCGTATCGCTGATAGCGACATGACGTCAATTTGACGTATGCCTAAATGCAGGTATATTCTACTTGTATTAAGACGCTATTATTTGTTACTTGACTTCAAGTCACCTGTGTTGACACGGAGTCAATTTCACTTTGTGTCAGCATTATTGATAGAGAATCAATTTGACGTCATGTCATTGCTATTATAATGACGCATAGTCAATCTGACATGCATCGTCGCTAGTGTTAGGAGTCAATTTGATCTTCAAAATGTTGATTTCTACAACACATTCAAAAATCGTTGACATCAGACTCCCAAAAATTATTGTGTTGCAGGAGATTACTTTAATTTAAATCCCAAGTAGATAAGGGTTTGGAGCTTTTTGAAAAGCTTCTTTTCAGTACTAACCTAATACTGATCCAATCTCGACCGATGACGATACTCACAAGACTCTCCATCAAAACTACCCTCTCAGAATTTTCTCTATACAATTCTCCTTCTGCAACTATTTAGGTCTCTCCACAATAATTACTATCTTGCTCATGATTACATTCGTGCTTCCGCAGACACTCGCAGGTATTAACCTAAGCTATGTACTCATGATATTTTGTACCTACTTTAATCTCACACTGATCTAATCACAACCGATGACGATACTCACAAGACTTTCTATCAAAACTGCCCTCTAAGAATTCTCTCTATACAATCCTCCTTCTGCAACTACCCAGGACTCTCTACAATAACTATTGCCTCACACGCACTTCTCTCATGCTCTATATACCTTTACACATTCGTTCTCTTTGGTTTTAATTCTCAACCTCTCTCACTCGATTCATTTTGTCACGTTCACCCAAAATTCCTCAGCCATAGTAGTTCATCCACTCAATACTCTTGCTCGTGGTCACTTTGGCAGGCTGTTCCGGTCCTAGGACCGCAATGTCTCATGTCAAGTAGAGGACTGTTTTATGTCCTTACTGCCAGCATCCCTCGACTGCTATACACTCATCGTTACCTAGTCACCACTTGGGTAAACCGTAACAAGGGCCAATATATCACCTTTATGATAGGCACAAGGACCCCAATTGCTTAAACAACCACCACCACCGAAAGACGTTGAAGCCAGCACACACCCCCAATATTATTCACAACCAATAGAATGACACACAGTCATCTTTTACATTTGCACCGACTAATGAATAGACAAATGAAACATAAAATCATTGTCACAGCAGTCACGAGAGAGTTCTAAAAATTCCAAGAAGATCGGAAAATCATCACGACCATGCTATCATCCAAGGCCCACCATCAACTCAGCGCAGGAAACAGTCTACTATATAACTCTCTGTAGTTCAACCAGAAT